AAAAAATTACAAATTTTTTGTGTAAGTATTTTTCTTTCTTATTCCATTTCCGAATGTGTGACAAATATAAATCATACATCATTCGAAAGTATTTTATGCCATGAATTTTGCATCATACTTATTATTGAGTAATTTATTCCTGAATCTCAAACAAACAAGTAGTTTGTAGAAAGGCTAATCGAAGTGCTAAATAAAATAAGTTTAGATTAAAAAATACGTAAGTTCAAATTTTAGTAGATAAGAAGAACTCAAAAACAAATCTTTCCCAAATTCAAGAATATTTGAAGAATCTGTCATGTTCATTATTCTACATTGTAGCACAAACAATAATCTATATACGAATCAATCAAATCTTTTATTTTGAATTCATTTCTAATGAATTACAAATTTTCAACTTAATAGGGTATGGAACACGTCTTTTTAAACAATAGTAGTTTCGATCACGGATCGATTTCGGTCTTTCTACAATTAAATATTTTCGCTTCTTTACAAGACAATACGAATCTCCTATGAAAATCTTGATCTAAAACGTTTGCAAGCTTATGTTTTGTAGGTTATTCAATAGGTGTAAATTTTTGAGGAATCTCACAAAAAAAAACGATCGTAAAGATTTTATCACGATTTTAGCTATTCTCAATAGCAATAAGTGTGAAGATTTCTTCTTCAAATTTTTATTTTATCGCATTCTGAACTGGTTAAATCCTAGAAGAAAGTTTTTTTTGTTTGTCTAGAATTTTCTAAAGGTTGATATTGATATTGATTTGAGCTTTAGACTAGAAACAATACTTCTATGATTATATCTTGAATGGACAGTTACAGAATCGATGAAGGTAATAAAAAATGTCATGCAATTTTATAAACTCCCTAAAAATAATTTAAATAATTTCATCCTTCTTAATTTATCTATGAAGAATCTAGCCATAATTGAAATCTTGATTAAATTTAATACTATTTAATCAATTTTCATTTTTATTGCATGTAATGTCATGTATTTTTAATATGTTTAATGTCTCAGTGCAATTGGAAGAAAGTACATTTTAGTATTATTTCTTTTCTTGGATCGACAAAAAACAAATACATGTAAAATGGTATGAGAAGTATAATTATGTGTCAAACAACTCGAAGATGAGAGTCAGAAACAAAACAATACTTTCTGCTTTTTAAATCAAAGAGATTGGGAGATATAAAATTCGAGTAGATAATTTTATTTTCTATTTATAGATGATGGCATAGAGCTATATGAAATGCTTATTAATACTATAGATTTATTTCAATTAAATCAAACTTCTCAAATATCTCTTATACACATGGAAATAATCAGTCTGACCGGCTACCTTGCTTCGTTTTTTTGCACATAAACTTCAGTCTTATTTTAGAACAAGTACAGTCAACATTTGCTCTATATTTGATATTATATAAAATCCTATTCAGTATTTTTCATTTTTCTATATTAATAATATAAATAACAATTAGTTTTAATTTTAATTTTTCTATGTTGGTAATATAGATAACAGTTAGTTTTATTGTTTTTATTTTCTATATCAATAATACAAGAATCTTAATTCTCATTTCTTGTTTTTCTAAATTGGTAGTTTAGAAAATTTTATTTATTATTTTTGATTTTTTATATTGATAATATAGAAAATCTCAATTTTAATTTTTGATATCTCTATAACGATAATATAGAAAATCTTATTTTTTTTGAATTTTTATTGATTTTAATTGATAATATAAATATCAGTTAGTTTTAATTCATATTTTCTATATTATCGATATAGAAAAATACAAAATAAAAACTAAGATTTCTCTATGTCAACAATACACAAAAAATAGAGAATAAAACAAATTGTTACCTTTGTTACCAATGTAGAAAAATAAAAAATAAAAAGTAAGATTTTCTATGTTATCAATATGGAAAAATAAAAAATAAATAGGATTTACTATTTTATCACTACAGAAAAATGAGAAGTACAAGTAACCGTTTTGTACTCTATTAATATAGAAAGGTGAAAAATAAAAATAACCGTTTTCTACACTATTAGTATAGAAAAAGAAGAAAAAAACTGACGTAAACTATTCGAGTCTTTTCCCCAGGTACTGTTCTTCATCGAAAAGCTGATGGAATCAACTATTCTCGAATAAGGGAAAGAAACAGGACAGACCATACACGATCAGATGCTAACAGGCAAGATCTACATTATGTACCGTGTATGTTTCTTTTTTTGGATCTTATATGATCTGTTAAGATCTGACAAGAAGGATCCAGTCTGTCCAAATCAATGTCTTAATCATTGAGTCTTGTAAGATTATTTGCTGACACCGCACAATCAAAATCTGAGAACATCTTGAAAAAAAATGAACATATAAGATATTCTTCGATATTGTAACAAGATCATAGAAAAAACCTTATAGGAGTAAGACCTCATTGGATCTTGCAGGATCTAACATCTGCTTTTTCGGGATGGATGTGAGTGTGGCTATAGATGAATCATTTACCCACCCATCATGGTAAGAATTTGAACATATAATTTCATCAATATAAAATCGGAAAATCTAAAAAAAAATTGCTTTTTCATAAAGGTCATAAAAAACAGATCAGTTGTTAATTATGAATTAATTTGGAAATTCGCCAATAATAGTAAAACTGTATTCTGACTTTAGATAGCCTATTATCCAAAAATATGCAGCACTACTTACAAAAAACCAAAAATCTCGCTTTCAATTTTGCAACTTATGTCCACATGGTTTCCCGCTATAGACAAGCCAAGTGAAATTGAAATATAAATACTGACATGATTGAAACAAGAAAAGAACATATCCTATTGTTCGTATGACAGAAAAATATATTTATTTACCAACGCTACTTATCTCGATAATCTTGCATTTCAAGCTTTTCAATAGTAGTCGAGAAAGTGTAAATTAAATTAAAATAGACTCATATCTATTCAATAACTTCAACGAATTGTCACCTTGACGTATGTAGATTAGGTTTCGTTTTTAGATTCTTTTCTCCTAAGTTCTTAGAACTAAATAATTGATACAGTTGAGTTTATTTGAAAAAAATTATTTACGTTAATCTTGAAAAATTTTCAATATAATCATATGAAATGATCATTCGTAAAATCTGAACAAGGCTCATAGCTTCAGATTGAAGTAACAACGAATTTAGCTTATTTAGAAAATAAACAAATGTTAATCAAAACTAAACGGGTTGAAATCAATCAATTAAAATTCAAATAAACTAATATAATTCTGTTTTTAGAAATATAACTGATTTCAATCATTATTTTTATAGAAGATTAGAAAAAAAAATCAAATTTTCCTCAGGTGATTTGACTCTTATTTTAATCATATTAAGGGAGGCTCCCCCCTCAGAAAATCCAATTTTTCGGAGACGAGTCGAAATTGAAGTTTTATCGTAGGAACATGCATCGAAATCTTCTCTTTCAGAACATCTATGGTTTATCAAAAAATGAATTGATTTTGGCGAACTTATCGTCTAAAACTCGGCTCCTACTGTCATATTTTTCGAGAAATTCTCAGAGGTTTCTTCCAAGCTTTTTCGATTTTTTAGGCTGCTTTCTCTTTGCATCAGCATCTCATAAAATTTTTTTCTATACTAATCACTAAGAGACTATGAATACTTTATATTGAGATCACATTTTTATAGCTTGTCTTTAACATGGATATATAAATCAGGTGATTTTCGGAAAAATCGATTTCTAATACTTATTTTCCGTTTTT